CCCGTCATCCGCTCTCCTCCGTCGATCCCGGTCCAGCCGTCCGTCCGCCTTGCTGCACCACCTCGGCTTCTCCAGCGTCTCCTTGGGAGGAAGCCCCTCAGTGGTGTCCTCGGCAGGTACTTCATCCTCTTGATCCTCGAGTGGCAGCTCCTTCTGCAGGTCCTCCGGGTCCTCGACCAGCAGTCCTGGCAAGGCCGGCAGCTCCTTCCTCCGGGTCCTCGGCCGGCAGCTCCTTCTGCGGTCCTCCGGGTCTCGACCGGCAGCTCCTTCGGTCCTCGGGTCCTCGACCGGCAGCTCCGCAGTCCTTCTGCGGTCCTTCGGGTCCTCGGCCGGCAGTCCTCCGGGTCCTCAGCTCCTTCTGCGGGTCCTCCGGGTCCTCGACCGGCAGCTCCTCCTGCGGGTCCTCCGGGTCCTCCACCAGCCGCTTCTTCAGGTCCTCGAACGGCTCCTCCTGCAGTACCTCGAGCGGCGCCTCCTCCTGCACGTACTCGTACTGCAGCGCACTAGACAGTCCAGTGCCCACCAGGTCCTTGGGCGGGCACTCTACGGTAGCTGGTCGTTCGGGTGGACAGCTCCCACCCACCAGCTCCACACGCCAGTCGGTGGCTTCCTTCGGCGTTTGGGTAGTTAGTCGCTTGGGTGGACAGCTCCCACCCACCAGCTCCACACGCCAGTTGGTGGCTTCCTTCGGCGTGTGGGTAGCTGGTCGCTTGGGTGGACAGCTCGGACCCACCAGCTCCACACGCCAGCCGGTGGCTTCCTTCGGCGTGTGGGTAGCTGGTCGCTCGGGTGGACAGTTCCCACCCACCAGCTCCACACGCCAGCCGGTGGCCAGCCTACGCTCCTCTGCAGTCGGTTTCTTCGGCGTGTGGGTTCGCGACGGCTGCAGCTTCCTCGAGCGCGCCCGCTTCTTCCGACGGCCGCTCCCCGGGAGACTCCTCTACTTCTCTCCGCCGTGCCGACAGGCTTCCCGCTGCGACGGGTCCTTTGGCAGACGGATCGAGTCCACGGGCGACGGTACCGTGGGTAGTGTCAGTCCCGGGAGTTTGTGAGTTTCCCGGACGACTCCAGGGCAAGACCAGAGGAAGGGACCCACATTCCTCTAAGCAGCCTGTTCAGCCTTCGACGCCTTTCCTCCTCGCGGCGCCAGCGACGATCCTCTTCCATTTGCCGCCTCTGCTCCGCCCTTCTCTGATAATACAGAGCCAGCTGCTCAGTCCTGATCTTCTCCTGCTCCTCGATATAGTGTAAAAAGGCCATCCCCTCGAGGCCCAACCTATCGCCTTCCTCTACATAGTTCCTCATGGTGCTGTCTTACTGGCCGTCTCATCCAGGTAAGGTCGCCAATGTCAGGCTTCGTTTGTGGGGTATGATTAGATCGGTCAGGTTAACAGTGAAACACCAGAGGAAACATACAGGAGGAATATATTGAAAGCACTATTTACACAATACACATCACACAGAGGAGGAAGGAGAATAGCAGCCACGGGAGAAGTCGAGCAGGCGAGGTCACATGGCGAAAGAGGTCGTCACTAACACATCACAGAACCACTGAAGTCTTTCCGGGAGAACTAACGAATTGCCGAGAATTACGCCTTTTGTGCGAATCGTTGGTGTATAGGTGCGACACCCTCGTTCCTTATAAGTTGAAGTGACGAATCACGGGTGACCTCATCCCGCCTAAGCCCGCCTCCCCACCTCGGGTAAACATCGCCGTAGGTCCTGAGCGACGAAACTTACAACCGCCGTGTAGCGGCTCAGGAAACCGACAGCGACCGATCAAGGCGATCTCGCAGTTGTGACAGACAGAATAGCAACATCATTGGCAAAGCCAAGGTCTGTAACCTTAACATTGCCCAGTGTTGCTCCACAATGACTTTGAACAGTAGCTCTGCCTAGTATCCAGTCCATGCAAGTATTGAAAAGTGTTGGTGCAAGAATACAGCCTTGCCTCACTCCTGAACTGACAGGAAAGAAGCTCGACACCACCACACTTTACAGCACTTTCAGTACCAGTATACAGGTTTGCTATTAGTTCAATAATCCTTGTTGGAATTCCACTCAGTCTCAGGATCTCCTAGACCGATTCCCGATGCACTGTATCGGACGCCTTGAGGTTGATGTAGGCTGCAAGCAGCCCACGCCCGAACTCACGACGGCGTTCTACAATGACTCGGAACGCAAGGATAAGGTCTATTGTGGACTTAACAGAAGTGAATCCAAATTGCTCCGGCCTCTGATGCCTCAGTAGATGGTTTCTAATACGCCTCAGAAGGGTGTGGGCAAGAACCTTGCCTGGTACACTGAGCAGTGTGATGCCGCGGTGATTGCTGCAGTCCCATCGGCCCCCTTCCCCTTCGAGAGAAGGATGACCACACCCCTCAACAGATCAGGGGGAACGGTACCGGACCGCCAGATGGCAGCCAGGACAGCATGCAATCCCCGCGCCATAGGTTTACCACCAGCCTTTAACAGTTCAGCTGGGATGCCGCAAATACCCGCTGCTTTACCATTCTTCAGCTTGGCGCCTCCCCAACTTCAGTTAGGGAGGGTGGGTCCTCGCTAATGGGTGGGTCCGGCAGCGGAATCACGGCACTACCCGCATCCAAGTTAACTGTTGGAAGGTCAACCTGATACAACTGCTCAAAATACTCAGCACAACGTTCACGCACCGCAACAGGATCTGAGACGATCTGGCCACCTACAAAGCGAACTGCAGTCACCTGTGAAGAGGGCTTGGAATTCAGTTTCCTCAGGGCTTGGTATGCAGGACAAAGGCCATTTACTAAGAAATGGCCTTCGACCTACTCAGCAAGACTCCTAATAAACTGTTCCTTCTTAACAGAGACCGAGTTCCGCGCACCTGAGAACGGTGCAAATCCTGATCCCCTGCCAGACGAGCCGCACAGCAAGCATCTGAGGCTTCCAGTGTCTCCTGAAAGATTAAATTCTATCTTGCCCTTGGGCGTTCTCCAATCGATTCTTGGGCTGCATCAAGCATTTCGCGCTTGAAGGTGTCCCACAGAAGTACAGGGTCTGTCAGATTGTCGAGCGTTGTGAAGTGATCAGAAATTGTCTCAGCAAACCCCCGAGCACACTCCCTCTCCTTCAGCCTGTCCATATGAAACACCTTAGGGTGGTCATTGGGCCGATGAGAAGTTTTGAAGTGGAGGGTAGACACAAACAATCTATGGTCACAGAACTCGGCACTCCTATACACCCTGCAGTTCTGGAGGATCCTCCAACGAGTGCTAACGAGAATGTGGTCGATCTCCTTGGCTGCATTACCCACATCGCTGTACCATGCCCAACGATGTGGGTCTGGGCACTGGTACCAGGAGCCAGAAATCCTCAATTTCTGGGATCTAGCAAAATCCCGGAAAAGGAGGGAATTCTCGCTGCCGGTATCAACTTCTGAACCATGAGGGCCTATAGACATCTCATAGCCAACTCGATCACAGCCAGATACCGCATTGAAGTCACCCAGAGCAATACGAATATCTCGCCGGGGACAACTGTCTGTCACAGATGCAAGTTTGGCGTAGAACATCTCTTTCACGTCGAGTTTACAAACATCGATAGGAGCGTACAATGCAACAAGAGACATGAAGCTAAAAGACAGCTTCAGTCTCATTACCATTATATGCTCATCGACTGGAGTGACCTCTACCATCGAGGACTGGAGCCTACTGGAGATAGCTATGGCTACTCTCATATATATGCATATATATATATATAGATATAGATATAGATATAGATATAGATATAGATATATAGATATATAGATATAGAAAGATAGATATAGATATATATAGATAGATAGATATAGATAGATAGATATATATGTGTGTGTGTATGTATATACATATATATATAGACAGATATAGAAAGTATATATGCATATATGCATTCATGCATGTATGCGGTCTCACACAGGTGTGTGTGAGAGGCAGCCCCTGCATGGATTCCGACGAGGATAACCAGGTTATCAGCGAAGTTTAAGTCACAAACTTCGAAGTTGCCAATTGCGGATCCTCAAGGCCTGGCCATACAAGAGCTGATAAGTCCTCTACGCCCTGGCTAGGCAGATAGGTGAGCATGCATGCGTGCGTATGTGTGTGTGGTGTGTGCCGCGTGTGTGTGTGTGTGTGTGTGCACGTAAGGATGCATGTGTGTGTGGATAGAATAGATAGATATTTGTGTATGTAGATAGAGAGATAGATAAAAAGATGCAAAGACAAGCAGACAGACATAAACAGATAGATAGACAGATTTATTCACAAATTCTATTCACCCAGCCAATCGCCAATCCATTCGCCTATTCACATTTACATGCGTGTGACTATTTATGTATACAGTTTTGCAAATGCATATAGACGTCTGTATCCATGCATGAATATAAACAAAGCAAGCGAAGGGGAGAACAGGAAACAGAGAAGAAGCAGCACAGCGAAAAGGCTGTAGGCGGAGTCAGGCGGTTCTCTGTGCCTTTCCTGTTTTGTTTACAACTTGCTCCCCGAGAACCTTCGCGCTGAGGAGAGGAAACAGTTTTGCGAAAATGCAAAATATGTCATGTATACCTTGCGCCAGTATACAGAGTGTACCAGAAATGAGGAAGAGGAAATATGGAAGCCCTATTGGTGTGATTAAAAGCGTTTTTGGTTATGTGTGTTTGACTTTGTGTGTGTGTTTGACTGTCTGTTTTTTTTTTTTTTTTTTTGTTATTGTTGTTGTTGTTTTTTAAGGTAGATATTTGCTTGATGTAAAGGTTCCTTTGTGTGTGAATGTGTGTTCGTTTCTGGTGTATGTGCATGTATGCCTATGTGGGTGTTTGTTAGTTCCATTGTTTATACGTGAGTCTGCATGTCAATTTTCATGCTCAAATCAAGCTCAGAGTTTTTTACACAATGGAAATTAGCTTCAAGGTATTGAAAATTGAGGAAGAAAAACAATTTTGTTTTGTATTTTTATATATTTGGATTTTCGTATATACAACTTGTACAACTACGCTTTCGAATATTATACACACACATAATCATAAATTACTTATTTACACATGTCATTGGCGGCTTCACACTTATATCAACACTTATGCTTAAAATAAAATAGAATAAATTAGATAACAAATTAAGAACGTAAAAATGAAGAAACATTGAAAGAGGGAGAAAAATAAAGATACAAATTTATATTATCCTTTTCCACTTCTTATCTTCCTTCTCTTTCTCTCTTTTAAAAATAGAAGGAAAACTATCACAAAGAAGGAAAATAAGAAGAGACAAGAAGAATTGTGAATTAAATCGACCGACATCATTCTTCTCTCTCTCTCTCTATTCGTCGTCAAAGAAAATGGGAAAGATTAACAAGGCTTCTCCGTCGTCAAAGAAAACGGGAAACGCATATCAGCGTATCTTGGTCGTCAAAGAAAACGGAGAATACTAACATCAGGGCATCTTAACCAAAGCGGCGTCTTTAGCGTTGTCGTAACGGAGAAGTTTTAGTTTTTCAAATTCATCGTTGTCGTCATGATTTAGGAAAGCCTAAGTAAGAGCTCCCGAAGTTCGTAGACAAGTAGCCTAATCAGCCTCACAGCCAACTAGGCTATCTTAGTAGTCTAACTATCTTCGTTGGTCAAATTAGGCTCGTAGTCTAACCAGCCTCGTAGCCTCAGAACCCTCATCATCTCTGAGCCCAACGAGCCTCGCAGAACCGTAGCTTAATCCAACGCCGAGCCTCGTAGCCCAGATAGCCTAGTAGCCATAGCCCCCGTAGTGCGTGGGCTGGGCCTTGGGAGAGCACTTGGACACGTAATTGGTCTGGAAGTGGAGTGACGTTTCCGTGACGTATTCGTTCTGCGTCACGGTCTGGGTGACGGTTTCGTAGACGCGGTACTGTGACGTCAGAGTCTGGGTGAGGTAGTGGGGGTGACGCTCGGTCTGGGTCACGTGTCTGGAAGGGAGAAAGGGGGAGAGAAGGAGTTAGTGACATTCGATTGATAAGATTTTGGATAATGGAATCCAAAATCAAGATCGTTACTAAAAAAAAAATCTTTAAAAAAAAAGATAAAGAAAATCACAATAAAAAATGACTGAAAAAAAAACTATATAAACCCTTAAACAAAAAAAAATCCATCAAAATAATAACCCCTCCCCCACCAAAAATAAACAAACAAATCAAA